AGGGTGAAGCTTGTGCTGAGAGTTGAAACTGTGGTGAGGGTTGAAACTGTGGTGAGGGTTGAAACTGTGGTGAGGGCGAAGCTTGTGGTGAGAGTTGAAACTGTGGTGAGAGTTGAAACTGTGGTAAGAGTGAAGCTTGTGGTGAGAGTTGAAACTGTGGTGAGAGTTGAAACTGTGGAGAGAGTTGAAACTGTGCTGAGGGCGAAGCTTGTGGTGAGGGTTGAAACTGTGGTGAGGGTTGAAACTGTGGTGAGAGTTGAAACTGTGGTGAGGACGAAGCTTGTGGTGAGAGTTGAAACTGTGGTGAGAGTTGAAACTGTGGTGAGAGTTGAAACTGTGGTGAAAGTTGAAACTGTGGAGAGAGTTGAAACTGTGCTGAGGGCGAAGCTTGTGGTGAGAGTTGAAACTGTGATGAGAGTGAAGCTTGTGGTGAGAGTTGAAACTGTGGTGAGAGTTGAAACTGTGGTGAGAGTTGAAACTGTGGTGAGAGTTGAAACTGAGGTGAGGGCGAAGCTTGTGGTGAGAGTTGAAACTGTGGTGAGGGTTGAAACTGTGGTGAGGATGAAGCTTGTGGTGAGAGTTGAAACTGTGGTGAGAGTTGAAACTGTGCTGAGGGTTGAAACTGTGGTGAGGGTGAAGCTTGTGGTGAGAGTTGNTTTCCTTCTGAATTGGATATGGTGCAGTTAATTTCGAATCAGCCCTCACAAATTAACAAATTTTTTATTGATGGTAACACTATTGATCAGGGGCCGTATTATCAAAACTTCGTAAGTACGCAAAATCGACTTACGAGAGGCGTAAGTACTGACTTGATGACGTAGCTCTAGAGGTGGTATTATCAAAACATTTGCGCGGGAAGATAAGTAACGTAACTGTACGCCTGCTCGGAGTTGTCGTAAGTGGAGTTCTGCACAAGTTTAGAGTGTCTGCTGAAGCGATAGGAAACTATTGATTTACTAGCAAGGAGCAACACCTTGATTTGTGATAGAATTTTGTCATTAATCCGACAGCGCGGATTATACACGCATAGAATGATGGCTCTACTTGTGATGGCTCCACTACTTGATCTTGCAACATTTGCACGATCAAAATATGTGATCGTGCTAAACAGTGCTATTGGAAAAAAATTCAATTCATTCTTTCAAAAAATTTTTCATTCATTTTCAAAAATTCAATTCATTCATTCCTTCTAGTCGGTACTTTATATCTTTGCCAACCATAATTTTTAGCTCCGTACACAGATTTCTTCTTCAACTCACGCTGTTAATTAAAAAGAGTTCACAACTATTTTAGAACGACTTTTTCTGGGCCAACAAGGAGCAATACCTACTCAATACAGACAGACAGCATTCGATAGTCGATACCATCGAAGGCATCGATTCCCGCCATCGAAGTTCACAGAATGTAAACAAATCCCTAGCCTCTGATTGGTCAGTTGGCCAGATGGTTTTGATAGTACGCTTTTAGCTAAGTCTTACGTACGAATGTTTTGATAATGCCAAAATTAGGGTATACTTACGTAACACGTAACTTTTTTGTCGGAAGTACGAAAAGTTACGAAGTTTTGATAATACGGCCCCTGGCCTTTAGAATAGCATTGCCTGAAGCTTATGTAGTTCATGTATCCATAGATATAATGGCTGGTAGGAACTGCGTTGTTAAACACAACATTGCTCCCAGGTCACAGCCATACCACTGTTATTGTTTGTAACTGCCATGCTAAGGCAGTATCAAAGAGAGTTTTTTCCTGACCTTTTCCCTATTGAGTCCTATAAGTAGACCAGTAAGTATCGTGGATACTAGTACGATCATGCATAAAATATTGAGGAAATCCTTAAAGTTGATCTGAGGCCATACTTTCAAAACTCGCTAAGTGAACGTAAGTACTTACGCTCTATTTTCTTGTCTATGATTGGTGGATTTTGCTCGAAAGGCCGTCAATGATTGGCTGATGAACTTACGGTCTCTTAACTTTTTTTGAAAGTACAGGCCCAGTAAATTAAATCAAGGATGATTTGGCAATTAGAAGGTATAATGTTTGCCGTAATGCGCCTTGGTCAGGCGAGCGGCCGTTCGTGTGCAGCGTGTGCGGCAGGAGCTTCAGGGAGTCCGGCACCCTGAGACGCCACCTGCTGGCGCGCGTGTCGTGCGCTCTCAAGTCCGACGCGGCGCTGGTCAGATATAAGGCAGATCTGCCTCTGTACGATAACAAGGTGAGCTGTAGTGATAACAAGATCAGTTGTAGTGATAAACTGCTGTGCAACCTCTGTGGCAGAGCCTTCAAGACTGTGGTGAGGGTGAAGCTTGTGGTGAGAGTTGAAACTGTGGTGAGGGTTGAAACTGTGGTGAGGGTGAAGCTTGTGCTGAGAGTTGAAACTAGTGAGGGTTGAAACTGTGGTGAGAGTGATGCTTGTGGTGAGGGGAAGGTTGATGGTTGACACGTGAGTAGTGCTGGTTATTCATCATTCAACCAATGCATTGCAACCTTTACATTAATTTACGTCAGTGGCCAAGTTTTGTTTTTTCGATTGCTCTTATTTAGTGACTGGTATTTCGATAACGTAAGAATAAGTGTTCTAAATTGAACGTTTTTTTGTTAATTCGTTTACTTCCATCGATCTTTGTGTATTTTGTAGAAAAAATATTTTCAAATTTGAAAATAATTTGCATTACAATTTCTATGTCCGCAGAGCGCTCGGAACCTGCACGTCCGTAGCCACAGCGACGGGCGTGTGGCGTGCGAACAATGTGGCAAAACCTTCGCCACACGCGGGTCCCTGCTGCGCCACAGCCGCACACATAGTGGCGAGAAGCCCTACGTGTGCCGCCACTGCCACACGGCCTTCAGGCACGCAGCCACACTGGCGCGCCACATACGCCACAAGAGTGAGTTGAATGTTTCTATTTTGTGGTTGTGTGGCGATGTTGTATATTTGATACCGCCACACTGGCGTGCCACATGCGGTGCTGTGTTTGATGTATGTTACTAACCAAGTGCTCCACTAGCCACACCTACACCGCATGTGTAAGTGCTGTGTAGTAGTTTCCACTCACCCACTTACAAATTCAAGATATTGTAGACTTTATGTTCTAGGCGAGCTTAATCAGTCTGGATTATCCGCCTAAACGCGCCAGATCGCGTGAAGTATTCAATCATTCAACAATATCGCATTGAATTAGAGTTAATACTGTAACTTGGGTGTGCACTAGGTATTTTAGCCTTCGTATTCACGAGAAGTTTTTTTTCCAGAACCTTGTTGCCTCATGACGAAGACGTGACGCTTCCGCGACCAGAAGACGAGTTCAACACCGCAAGATCACTTCTCAAGTTGATGGGTTGGTTTGTAATTAATTGGTTGCTTATTTAGTTTCTTCATCATTCCATTACTCTATATATCATCAGTATGATAGCCCCATGGCCATAGGACGGCTTAAATACTAATCAGGTCCGTCCGCATTTCAGTTCGTCATTTCTTGTCGTACTTCAAGATTGATAAAATGACAACTCAATTATTTTATTAGTTTAGTATTGTTAAATTAGTTAAAATTACAATCAGTCAATAATGTGGTCCTTAACTAATGTGTTCACTAATTTTGCATTGATTCGGTACTTTTTTACTCAAAATTATTAATTATTTCTCAACTAGTGTTTCATAATTTATATCTTATTTCACTTGACCATTCTCCTACATATTTTTTCATATGTCTGTTAATTTTGTCTCAGCCATTCATGGTTTTAGGATCTCTGTTTTGTAGCAATGAGCTACAGCAACTCATCTCGTTATGGATTTAAACTCTCCGTCAGTTGTATTAGTCGCGCGGTTTCCTGGATTTTGTCTCGTTGCTTCGTTGATTTTGTCGCGCCGTTTCTTGGATTTTTTTCGTTGCTCCTTTGATTTTGTCGCGCCGTTTCTTGAATTTTGTCTCGTTGCTTCGTTGATTTTGTCGAGCCTGAGCCGTTTCTTAGATTTCGTCTCGTTGCTTCATTGATTTTGTATCGTCGTTCTTTGATTTTTCTCTCGTTTCTTCTTTGATTTTGTCTCGTCGTTTCGCGGATTTCCTGATTTACTCTTTCCATGAATTATTCTCATCATTACCTTGTTTCAATATGTATTTATTCTCATCGTTAATTAGTTTCCAACTTATCGCTCTAGAAGTACACTTCATCGTTATCTTAGCCCAGCTCTTTTGTTTCGTGTGGGTGGCCGACATCTCGTCTATGCGACCTACCGTATCATCGCGTGTCTCCAGTCTTCTTTACGTTTTTTCCTCCATCATTTATAACTTACTGCTGTGCATCTTTAATGTCTCTTATTATCCATTAACCCGTTCTTTATTTTTCGAAGCGGTTGCGCTGGTTCTTGCCTGCCATGATCCACATGTTGGCCGCGTGATCATTCGCTTGCGATGAATGCTTACTTGTGTTCTGTGTATAATTTCACCTGTAACTAATTTATTATGGAAATGTTCCCTAGTGGTTGCTCAATTACTTTATTTTGACAGGTATTTAAGCGAATCTGTATATAATTTATGTATATCTGATGAATCTGTATATAATTTAGATATATATTATAATTTTTATGTTTAATACAGTATATTATTGTTGAGCTAATTCGGGTTACTTGATCTCTAATGAGTTACCGTAAGCTACGGGTAATAAAAAACCTTTTTGTTAACTCACCATCAATTTCATTCCATTCCTCATAATTTAATTATTGAGAAACAATTCAAACTATCAAGCGACAGTCTAAACGTAACATAAACTTAATCAATTACGCGAACAAGGAAAGCAAATCATGATAATTACTTTTTTTACAGTTGCAGCACAAATCTATGATGGTTATAATCTCAGGTAACGTAATTCCTATACAGTTTTTAATGTTTACTTGGTTGTATATATTGTTAGTTATCAGATTTTAAAATCCATTTCAAGTGCAAAGTTGAATAATCAAAAAATAAATAAATAAAAATTTGAGGACTAGCGCGCTCATTTAACCTAGCTTTTACAGTCTTCAATTACTAAGAATAGATATATATTTTAAATATTATCGATGCATTTGTGAATAAACTGTATATTCTGCATGAACACATATATATACTTCGGTTCTTTATATATCCTATCTGCCTTAACCTAACTAGATTTACCCTATCAATCTTATTCAATCTAGATATTTCCTATCTCCCCCAATTTAAATATTTTTCCATCTTATCCTAACTTGCACAAATGAATCTCTTAACATCGAGCATCGTAAATGACAATAGCGTAGAGTGGGTGTGATTTTTCCTTCACTTGACGAGATATAATTCAAGGGTAACTCATTAATTGTGGGCAAAATGAGAATATCTTGTTTATTTCAGCGACACTAATCGATACAAAGAACATATTCTTGGCACGTACATGATTTGTGCGGAGTCTTAATGGAAGTCCTATCTCTTTGTTTGGAATTTTAATACACGTGTAAATTGGGTGGCTCCAAGATTAAACGTTCACTGAACACAAGATACGTTTACTCCGCACTAACAAAAACGGCGCACTCGTGTTTGTGACTAATATATTGTTTTAAGTTAATAACACGTACGAGAGCAACACACACATTCATTGTAGCAAAATTATTTTATTCGCACATGTTCATCTCCTTCTTTAATGAAAATCGTTACATAATTAATAATTTATTCGTTTGACTATGGTTATGAATAAATTTTTCGCACTCAAGTTAATCGGAAAGCAAATTATAAGTTTGCCTGTGAAATAATGAATACTTTCTCGGTTAGGTTGCTTACCATTCTTAAGGCTGTTCAATATTTTGATGTTCATATACATTTACTATATCTTTCGAACGTGTGAATAAAGTTTTTTAAGTATGGAGTAACAATGTATATTAACAGTTCATGCACTAAAGTATTCGGTAATATAATAATATTTTGATTTTACAATGAGCTGCTCTCAGTGACCCGTTAGCAGGGCTGGAAATTCTCTAATGATTTAAATAACAACAATTATGGCACGTGCCTTCTTGCATAGACTAGCTTGCTTCAACTGCATTGAAATATGTAACAAATGTTTATTTCCTTGTATATTTTAAATGCAGAATATATAGAACAAAATAAGTAACGAGAGAGGAATGTGTTCCATCTCTTATTCAGAACAAGTTATTTGAAACCTATTAACATTAACCAAATAGTATAATTTTGTATATATAATATATGAAACAAAATATGTAACGAGAGAGGAATGGTGTTCCATCTCTTATTCAGAACAAGGTATTTGAAACTTTCTAACATTAACCAGATATAACATAATTTTGGGGGATTAATTTCGTTTATAATGGAACATCGAGAAAAGAAATGTTCTTGGGACCATGAGAGATTCGCTATCTGCTTTCAATTTAATTTAGCTGCATTAAATATTCTTATATCTCCCTGCGACAAAACTTTTCCGTGTCATGCAGTTCGTTTAATTACGCTCTAGCATACCATCATAATATGCAACACACCATGCGGGCAGCTGTGGTATGAACGATGGCCCGGTATCCGACAGATGCTAGTTCTTAAGATGAAAAATGCATGGAACTAAAATACAATACTCGATCCGCTCATGAACAGGAGCGTTGAGACTTGCAGCGAGTGCTTTGGTGAGAGCTACGTGTAAAGAATAGCCATGTCAGAGGAGGTTTCCGAGCGAACAACGCTTACGTGTTGTGTCCTTCTACACAACATTTGGAATATCTAACACACTAGGTCCTTGGAATATCTATCGCAATATAATTTAACCAAAAAAAAACTTCAAAGCGTTGGGTTTCATCCAGCATGGGACTTTCTTTCACTTACTTCATCATTTTCAATATTGTAAATTGTTGTGGATACCTCAAGTTAAAATTCACATGGAAAATTCAACTGAATAAGAGGATACGCTCATATACAATTTCAGTAGCGAAAGACCGACGTTTCTGTATCTTGCGTATATCATCGTAACGCAATTTGTTTAAAATGACGCTCCTTGTTGCAACTATTAAAAAGATCACTGGCTGAGAAGCGGCCGACTGAAACCCTTCCCTAGCTGGTTTAGACCCCAGGATACGCATACGATGAGCAGCTACTAAATCCTGGCTAAGCGATGGTACCGACTCGATGTACCGTAAGTACATCTAGGCCAACTTTACAGAATGCTAAATATGTAAAAACGGAACGACGAAGAGATATCGAGTTGATAAACCGGAAGACAATAATCTTACATATATATTAGCTTAAAAAACCTCAGCAGTTCTATATTGGCATATTCTATAAGAACGATTTTGAGCTCGTGTTTGTCCTCCAAAGAATGCAAAATTGCCCATTGATATGCTTGTTTCTATCCAAGCGGTAAGACATGGAACACGAAATGGCAGCATTAATGGTAAAATCAACTCTGGAAATGGCATATATATCTTAATAAACAGTAACTCTCGTAGATTAACAACATACAACAATTACATCGCTAAAACTCAAAAAGTTCACGTCTTGAAAGTGTCAAGTTTTTAATCTCAAAGCCCTAACCGGTTCACATTAAAGGTGCTGGTCAAGTATTTTTCAATTTCGAGCTTTTCAAGTGGAAAGACAGGCATTTGAAATAGCATTAAAATCAAAGACAGGCCCTCGGCATCAAGGAATGATCGACCGGATCAACATGAGCGCTCGAGGCCAGTGTAAAGTAAAGGTTAATTGCCGCACTCAAGATCGAGACTCACGAGGCTACTGTGTCTAAAGAGGCTATTTACAAAGGCTGGTGGAGGACGATAACATCTTTAAGATGAAAACCCTCCCTCCAAACTGTTACGTTTATCAAAATAACTTCATTTTCGGCCATTATTTTATGTTCCTCAGCCAAATCGGCTTGGATGAACAAGATATTTCCGATACACGAATTTATATTATCTCCGAAGCGATAACATTTAATAGTTAGCGATTGAAAATTTGATCAAAACTATTTTAAATGTGTTTATTTTGGATCGAAATACTGGTCTCGACTTAGTTGGTGCAACTTTAGCTTTTGTTTGAAGTTGAAGTTGAGTTGGCAGAAACAATTGCAATTCATAGCTCATAATTTTTAGGACCTTTTATGGTTTTGAAAATCTATGGGTTTCGTCTTTTCTCTAATAATTATGCACCGCGTTACTGTTGCTGTTAGTGCAATGTGATTTTACCTTTATATTAAGCCATGTGGAGCTCAATTAATTATTTCCAGTGTGAGGAAAGAGCAAATAAATAGCGTTGTTATTTCAATATAGGTACTTTGGCTGAAAGCGGTTTTCTCAAGTAACGAACGACCTCTCTTTCTTACTACTAAGCGAAAATACTTGCTGAGACCAACGGTCAAAACAAAATAATTTTTTTATGCTGGATTATCATATACACATTGTATATTTTATGAATCGCACGAGTTTTCTTTCCCTCCAGATGAGCATATCTCTGTTGATTCAAATAGTTATTAATTATTGCTAAGTTAAAGAGCTACGGCATTGGCATACCCATCATACCAGTTATTTTCCTGTTCCAATCTTCAAATCAAAGTAAAAAATTCGATCAAATATGCTAGTTGCAAATTGAGTCGTCATGGCCAAGTCGGAATAAAGTTCTTCAAGAGATTTGCAAGTTGTTAATCTAGCAAATGACATCTGATTGAATTAATCGGTCCCTGCAAGTGAGAATGAATTCATACATAAAGAACAAAACGGTCAGTCTGATACGACAGCAGTAACCGAGACGCCTGTCTGCACACAGCAGTGATGGTGACGCCTGTCTACACACAGCAGTGACAGTGACGTCTGTCTGCACAGAGCAGTGACAGAGACGCCTGTCTGCACACAGCAGTGACAGAGACGCCTGTCTGCACACAGCAGTGACAGAGACGCCTGTCTACACACAGCAGTGATAGTGACGCCTGTCTACACACAGCAGTGTTAGAGACGTCTGTCTACACACAGCAGTGATGGTGACGCCTGTCTACACGCTGGCGACGACGACAGCGAGAGTAGACAGGAAGTAGACGGCGAGGCCAAGGCTCTTCATGGAGCTCGCGTCGGAGCCTGTGCCTGAGTAGCTCATGAAGACCTGCGAACCGGGGGGGCGGGTTAGGAATGTTGGGGACTATACACGTCCACACACGGCACTGACAAGTTAACAACACACGACCACACACGTCAATGACAACACACGGCACTGACAACACAAGACTACACACGTCAGTGACCGCAAATGAGACTGGCTGTGTATAGTGTCATGTATGGCGCACGCGAACATTACTGTGAAGTGAGCCTTGTGCAGTACTTATTTAATTTCGCAAGGCTAGGGGCGCGAGTCTCAGTCAAAGCGTTAAATAGCTAACTAACTTGGCATTTAGGGCATTTTACTTTTAAGGAGGTTGTTTTTATTCAGACGTTGCTGTTATACTTCAATAATATTTTGAAATGTTCACCTTTAGGCGTCTAAGTTTAGAGGGTAAAGGTGAAATTAAAACCATAATGGTAGAGGCAGAGCCCTAGTGTTAAAAATAACCTTGATTAAAGATTATAAATAACGTTTTTAACTAACGACCAACTTGCAACCTAAGAGCAGCATGCAATCTTCAAATAATAATGTTTACTCATATTTGTAGAGTTAAACACTCACCTTCCTGCTGGAGAGAGCTTGGGGAGGCCGGAAGTTGTTCACCAAGTTGTGGCCGTGGTCATTACGCATATTTCTGAACACCTCCATCTGCACGACGCATTAAATTTCTATTTATAGAAAATTTATCCAAATTTTAATTTGTTTACGCATATACGGTGATGAAACAGAGACTGACTCCACGCGCGCAATACAATAAAAAAATCGCGATAACAGGTACCCAAAAAACGTGTACACGTTGAATCTCCGACTCGGAAGTGCACACGACAGTTACTCCACACCACCGTGCACACGACAGTTTTTTTTTTTCAGACTTGCGGGAGCCTCTGAAGACTACTCCAATGCGGCCCCACGACCGAGTTTTGAGCTATAGTTGTCAGAATGCTGTTTAATTTGCACTCTATCACTATTAAACATTTCAAATAATCACTTTATAATCACTTTAATTAAGTGGCACTTTATCATTAAACACGACAGTTAACTACCTGGGCCTCGGAGATGGGCACGGCCTGATCAAACACGGTCCACGTGACGACTTCGTTGCAGGTCGGCGTGGTGAGCGAGCCGTCGTAGCGGTAGAAGGCGCCTACATCGCGCGGCAGGAACGCGCGCAGCGGGTATTGCGCATCCACTTCTATCGTCATGCCTGTTAAGAAAATGTTTCAATATTGTGAGTTTAACCATTCTATTAATATAGAGAGTACCTTTGTTTATCCATTACTATCGTTATTACAGTTGCAATAACCTTTTGTTGGTATTTGGTGCACTACGTTGCATGCTTATACAGTCATGCCTGCCGTGTAACCGTTGAATTATGCTTAATCGGAAATAAACGTCTAATAGACAAAACATGAGTATAGTACCTAGAAGTACGGTTTAGCACGGCAATGTAGAGCAAAGAATTTCATAATTAAAAATGTTCAGTAAGCTGTTGCCTCATTATAATATTATTATTAATTGTGGAGCGAACAATTATCACAGCGTTTTTTCCTCATGCATCAAATTATCAAAATACTTCCATTGATCACAAGAAGCTGACGAAATGGAGAGTTAAATTAAACATCCGATTTCGCTCGGAAATAATTTCTAATAAATCTACGATGTGCATGCAGAATATCTAGGAAAATAGAGTTGATAAGTCAATCAATTTTAGCCTTATGAAACCGATGATATTTTATAATTCTACACGATTCTTCGATCAGGCCCATCCAGCGGCTAGTCTGGCTTTTCCAACCAGTCAATCCCAAAACATTATTTTTGTTGACAAATACACAAATCTGCTATTCATCAATAATGAATGAATATAATATTTGAAGGAATTCTCACTAGGTTCCTGGATCTCTTTAAGGGCCTTGACGAGCGGAGTGAAGGCTGGGTTGTCCGTCTGGGAAATTTCGAACATAACTCCCAGCACTGCTAGACCGTCAGCCTGCTGCACAGCCTTGCCGATGGTGCCGTACGCGGTCTTGTAGTGCACCATGTGCATCTCCATCGGGTATCTGTGCCCAGATGAAAAATAAAGGAGATGCAGCTCATTTTTTATTTGTGTGTTATTAAATTTGGTGGTCATTGAAGGTGCATCTCCATCGCGCATCTTCGCAGTAGCGGGGGCAAATAAAAGGCCTCATCGGGTATTCGTGCAAAAATTAGTAAAGAGGTCAATAAATAGGTAAGCTATCAGGAATCTTTGCATAAATCTATGACGAGTTAAAAAAGATTCATCTCACTAGGTAACTGTGCACCAATGTGATTGTTGGTCAATAAAGAGGTACAGCTATCAGGTATCTGTTCAAAAATGTACACATGGATCAATAATGAGGATTTTCCATTGGTAACTGTGCATATCGGATCAATAAGGGTGCCTATGAACAGTTGCATTGCCAATTTGGAGTCTAAATATCTCCCATTTCCTGATAAAATATTTACGATATGAACATTTATCAAAATAAAACAAATATCCATAAGAATATTTCTCAGTAGACGATTTCAGACAATTTTTGGAGTTTCAATAAACCTACGGACGAACCTATACGCAAAATCTACTATTGCATCGCTTAACCATCAACTTTTTTCTTCTCGTTAACAAATACATGCAGTATAACATAAAACTTTACATTGGATCAAATGCCTTTTGTTTACGCTTCAAATGTTTTTAAAATTGATCACATGACACACGGCAATCACCTGACGCCGTTGATGGTGTGCTCGGAGCCCATGGACGAGTCGCTGCCCCAGTGGAAGTGGAACTGCGCGAAGATGTACTCCCCCGCCAGGCCTCCGTCGTCGATGCGGGGGGCCGCCGCCGCGTCGATCTCGACTTGCGCTGCGAGTGTGGAAGAGGAATTGTTATTCTTGAGGTCAATGAACAGGCCTCCGTCGTCGATGCGGGGGGCCGCCGCCGCGTCGATCTCGACTTGCGCTGCGAGTGTAGAAGGCGAATTGTTATTCTTGAGGTCAATGATGTTAAAATAACGTTGATTACGAGGGGGTTTCATTGAAATAACGTTGATTACGAGTTGGTTTAGTTGAAATAACGTCGATTACGAGTTCATTTTGATGAAATAAAGTCGATTGCGAGTTCATTTCGTTAAAATAAAGTTGATTATGAGTTGGTTACGCTGATATAACGTCGATTACGAGTTCATTTTGTTGAAATAAAATTGATTATGAGTTCATTTCACTAAAATATCGTTGATTACGTGTTTTTTTCATTAAAATAACTTCTATTACGAGTTGATTTCATTAAAATAACGTCGATTACGAGTTTATTTCGTTGAAATATCGTCAATCACGAGTTGATTTCGTTGAAATAACGTCAATTACGAGTTGATTTCATTGAAATAACGTTGATTACGAGTTGGTTTCATTGAAATAATTTTGATTACGAGTTGGTTGCGTTGAAATAATGTCGATTACGAGTTTATTTTGTTGAAATAACGTCGATTACGAGTTGGTTTAGTTAAAATAAAGTTGAATACGAGTTGGTTCGTTAAAATGAAGTTGAATACGAGTTGGTTCGTTAAAACAACGTTGACTACGAGTTGGTTTTGTTGAAACAACGTTTAGTCAACGTTATATTAACGACAAAACTGCATTGTTGCGAACGACGAGTTATCGAGTTGCGAGCTTATTGACGTAAAATTATGCCCTAACCGTCAAATTGCGTGATGATGAGCGTAAAATTTTGTCGCTGTGGATGTAATTTTTACTTCCTTTGTAAACCAAGTTGAGATATCTACGATTTCGAGGTACATTATTTCCAACTCAAATTTAGGACATTGACAGAACTTTTTTTAAAAAAGCTCGATGGTTTTTGTCAATGCAGGCGTAAACTTGCGATAATCGAATACGCGCGATGAAAGAGTGGAATAAAAGCTATTTCTTAGTTCGCTCATCTTCCACTCCCGTTAGAGATGTATATAAATTTCTACATAGAACACGATTATAAAAAATTATTTCCCTACCTTCTCTATAGTGCAGATTTCACTTCGAAGGATAAATTCAATCCATTACCAACATTGAGTGTGAGAGAAATTCAAAGATTTACGAGACCGATTTTGAATACTGAAACTCGGGCTGTTCTCTATTTTTACCATGCAGCTTCGTGCACTAGATTGTACATTGATAAGCAGGGACTTGGATGAATTTTATTAGTTATTGCGCCATTCACAACACTGACTTGTCGTTTAAGAAAATGCAGCGCGCTGTCAAGTCACTGTCATGCGGCAAAGAAATCTACGTAGGAGACCTCGAGCGATCCGCTTCGTTGACGATCATCGTGTTTATGTCGGGAGTATATAAGCGCTTGTGAGCCGAGTCCATTAATTCCACCATGTGAATCGTTTTGTAAAAGTGCTTGTCTATTCCCCTTTATTCATAAAAATCTGCTAATTCAGATCAGATGTTTGTAGTTTTGAAGGTCGACAAGATGGATTTCTGACCATCAATAAGATAAGTTGTTGCTTATAAACCGGATACTCGAGTGCACAAAATATATTGCGGAATTTAATGCTCATTATTAAGTATTCTACGGAGGAACTGACCAGCGTGTCCGTTGTTCTTGATCCTCATCCTGCGAGGCTTCATGTCGTAGTTCTTGAAGGTGAGGGCCTTCCAGTTCTCGCGCTTCACGTTCGCCGTCTCGATGTTGATGGGCGACTGCCGGCGCCCGTTGCACGACGCCACCAAGTGGCCCCAGTTACTCGGACCTGATCACCGTTTAAAATAATATATAAGTTATTCAATTTGTAAATTCTGGAGTAAATAAAAAACTTTATTCCTGCTGGTCAGAATTAGTCATCTTGTGCATACCAATGATAAATGCATAGGATTACGCGATGCTGTAGGCAAGGCTTTAAAATTGTCTAAATATTGTTAAAAAGTTGGACTTCTGAACGAAATTAGATTTATTTAGGTAATTTTAATGATTAGCTCGCGCTTCTATAAGTTAGCGCTCACTCCATGTTGCATATCGCTCTCGATTTAATTAGATGGATGCATGAAAATACCGCACGAAATTTGTTATTGGTAAACAAACTCAACTAAAGCGGCTTTAAACTTGACATTTAATGATCGAGACATGCTGTTGTCTACTCGAATTGTGCGTATCGATGCGAGTTAAGTGATTATGTCAATAAGGAGATTTTGATAATTTTCATTTATTTCTGAACCAGTTGATTATTGCTGAAGTGAGTTAATCGAACAGTCTTTCTTATTAATGTTTTGTTTGTATGCAAAATTTAAATAGTTCCCTTTGTCCGTGAAATATAACGTAAAATTTGAATCCAGACGAATTTACATTTGAAGTTCTAGTTTCTGTCGAAAAATAAACTGAAAATTACAAAATTTCATGTGCATGAAAAGTAGCTAATGCTTTATGAGCTTCAATTAAATTGTTATTACCGTTATTATGTATAGCGTTACTGGCAATAAGGAAACGAAGATAATTCTGACTAAATTTACTAGTTGTTACAATAAAGATTTTGTATCGTCACTTGATTTATTCTGGCAATCTCACCTGTACTTCCTTCATAGGACCAGGATCCGCCAGCTGCTGAACAACCTGCACGCAAATATAATCACTGTGATGAATAAGCTAATAAATTCCTACATATTATTATACATTCATTAATGCTCCAAGTAATGAAGAATGTGAGGAGCATCCGCCTATCTCGGCAACTGCCCATTCTATGCGAATTTAAAAAAATACAAGGAAAATTACGAGTAGTTGAGTGCTCTGAAAACGTCAGGTGAGATTCGAAATTTCTGTTATGATGTTATTAAAATTTATGTTATGAAAAGTTATGAAGTACAATTTCCTACAAGAAAATAATACAGGAAGACAAAAGCCCCGGACTACAAAGAGGTTGATAGAAACGAATTAATTCTGCAAATATTTGCGACAGAAGAGAGATGAGTTCGCGGATTTTCCATTAATCAAGAGATCAGTATTCCGCTATGATTGAGCATGATTATTGTGTTAAAAAGTTACTGTTCTGGCAGAATTGCACCCGCACCCATCTAAAGCTAACAGTAATTAGAATCACGAAATATTCCTGTCGATTAAAATATCTGGTATTTACAGTAATTCATGTTATATGTAACAGAATGGTATTAATCACAAAGAAAAAAAAACAAATTTGAAATTTTGGTTTGCCCGCTGCAGCGAGTTTTCCTGTGCCACTCTTTTTGGTTTGCGCGACACTAAGTGTGCAGTGGCACAGGAAACTTATTCATATTCGGAAGAATGATGTGCGTATGTCGTAGATTTAGAACTAAATTTAGGTATGTGGTCATGTAATAGAAAAGCGAGAAAAATAAAAGATTCGAGTCGTTCACACGCTTGTAAGCAGATGCGGAATTCAACTGTTATAAAAAATTTTCGTCTTGGTATCCTCGGTTTATCAATAGCAGACAACAAACGGCTTTCCTTAACAGGCCACCCAAAAAGCGACTGTGTTACTTGGGACTTGCAAAGAAGGCGACTGTCGGCGTTGCAAGTTGCAGTCTCCGGAAACGTTTTAAGGAACATTTGCATGCGTCTGTGCCTGTCGTCTGAGCACAAAGCGCTCTTCATGCTCAGTGACAGAAATAAAATACAAATACCCAAGTTACTCCAACAAAAATCGCTGGACTTTGGGGACCGATTTTACTTGCCTATGTATTGGTTTCAGTACTTCTGCCCGCGCGAAATTTCCTCGATAAGCTTATGCCTGCTGCAGGACTGGATTCCAATCCAATGAAGTTATCCAATTGGCAATTTTATGCGATTGCGACTAAGATAATATCTTGCTGGACAGCCCTAAGTAAAACAGGGTAAAATTTGAAGAAAGTTGAAGATTTCATTTAACGTTTGCCTTCTGCAACACCTCCCGAAACACTACAAGACAATACAAGTGCAGAGAACAACGGATTGTATTTTCTTTTGAATAAATCGCTTATTATATCTGAGTGGCTAACAGGTTCATGTAAATAATTGAACTGCTATGCTTCTTTACAATATTTAGTCAAATTCGGAGTCATGGAATTTCGATCAATTAAACGAGAATTTTCATATAAGTAAATCATGAAGAATGTGTAAAATGGAAACGAGACTGAACAATTTTCAAAAACAAGACACTACCCGAAGAGACTGCATGCTGCTTTAAGGTCAAAAAAGCAATTCCAATTTGGTGCCAACCAGAAAATTAAGAAAGGCTGAGGATCTCATTTGGACAAAAGCCTTGCCCGGACTCTCTGCCTTCCGCGCTGCTTTTGGAATACAAAGAACCAAATCGCAGTGAACCAACGCTTGAACTCGCAACGTCAACGCGCCACCCTCACCCCGCAACGTCAACGCGCCACCCTCACCCCGCAACGTCAACGCGCCACCCTCACCCTTCTACGTCAACATCACCCACACACCGCAACGTCAACGCCACCCACACCCCGCAACGTCAACTTCACCCACACACCGCAACGTCAACGCCACCCTCACCCCGCAACGTCAACGCCACCCACACATCGCAACGTCAAAGCCGGTCACGTCCTGACCCGTATTATACATATACATACATACGCCGGCGTTATACAGCGTCCTGAACCGCTGTATATAACGCCGGCCACGTCCTGACTATACAGCTGCCGAGAGCCTGCATGCAGGTCCCCCAATCTCGTATATTCTGCAAACATCTCTATTCACCGGAAAACACTGGACCTTTCATAGCTACAAAACACTTCATAGCTCCGCCGCACAATGCAGGTTCAACTTGAATATATGCAAGTAACTCATTGCTCTAGTCGAGTCAAAACAAGATTTTGACGAAATTAGGTTGACAACATTGCGATGGCAAAAATGACTGGAGATACGAAGAGATTACATTTTAAACGTTTAGAAATTTGTTAATTTTAGGTTGATATTATTTGAAACGAAGTTCATAAGCAACGCAAAGTAGACAAACAGAAGGCAGGAATCACCCTTTGCGACTGAGCGCATACTGTGTTTTTTAGTACGCGAGAAAGAATGTGCCTAATTAATTCGCGTGAAACTCTCTCTGATTGTAAACTGGTAGTTTTCTGGTTACTATAAAGTTGGTAACATTCCAAATGAAGCATTAGTTCCAATGTTGAGAAATTGTTAAAATTGTTTTTGACTAAGGACTTCTGTTTGCAGTCGTCTCAACACTATTAAAGATATTAGAAAATTAATTGTCTAAATTTTGACAGCATGTATAAACCGAAATAAAACTACACCATAAATAAAAAAAACGTGCTTGACTAGCAGTTTGTAGAGATTTAAACTTTTCATGGAACTTCAGCCGTTTATTGCGGAATTTGTAATTCTACAATATAACATTTATAACAGGAAAGGCTTCCAGTACTTAATTATGGCTCTAATAATACGCGGCTTCAAATTCGCTCCGGAAATAATGTTGAATTCTGTAATTTTTACCTAATTTCCAGAGTTGTTGAGGCAATTCTTTTTGCCTATCGCCAGAATCTGGTTATTTCTCAAATGCTTTCAAAGCAAGATATTCATTGTCAAACGAGAAACACTTCAACGTTCCTACCCGTTGAAGACACGTATATGGGTATAGCTGAATATATGATAATGTTGATAGAAATGTCAACGAGACACGGGTAAATTATTTTCCTGTAGTTCAGTAGGAACACGACTGGATCATAAATGATGCCAGCACCACATCTAACACAAAGCTGAACAAATTTATTCACTTGTAGCTATTGCGATCAATTATTGCCGGTTGAAAAACTCTTCGTCACCAGTAACTTTATTCTACGGACCATGAGGATTGGATCACCGCCATAGTTTCCAGCAATTGGCCGCATCTAGCCTGGACTGGCTGCACACACGACGAGTCGTAGAGCACAAAAAGTTTTAGAAACGCAGGAGTTCAGGCATCAACTAAAAAACAATCTTCTGCGTACAGATTTGGCCCACATTAAATTCTTTCACTAGGGTGTGTGTGATAGACAGCACGAGGATCCCCTTTTCAATCGCCACGCGAATGCGGAAATACCTTGTGCTTCGGCCTCGCCATTCTCACGCTCTATGAAGAGTTCCATGGCACCAGCGAAAACGTGACTTTCCTATAAAAACTTTCGGACGTGTCGAGCACGGCCAGCAATCTTCCATGGGCCAGCCATCGATGCACCGACGACAATATTCACCAAGGTCATCAAGTACCCAACAACAGTGACACTGCTGACAACACTAGCGCCAATAGCTTCTGGTTTTCATTGTCAGGTTACCATTCCGCACCGCCGGACTAAGCTGCAATATCCGCCCTCAGTTCCGTTCAATATTTCCAGTCCCGCACCGGCGGAGCACCCATCTGGCTAGCCAAAAATTTACAGGCAACGCCTGTGTAGTCGATGAATAAACGACGGCCGATCAGCAATGAAATTGCCCTGACTTTTCTTATAAATTCTATAGATTTCATTGATAACTGTTTGTTCGAATGGTTAGTTTCCTCGCCGGATGACGGATTCTAAAGGGAGCATTGTCGTCAAAGCAACAGGGTATTGTAATTCTAACAAATTTCAGAGAGACGAACTTCCGAGTCGAGGTTTACATATTTCACTCTTTTCCAAACAGATGCGTATATTCCATGAATGATTCACAACAACGATAAACGACAAGAATATTGATTAGCACGAATGCAAAGTATTTGTAAATAGTAAACTCTAGTAAATCTGACCACAAAAGAAACGCAACACGATGGTGGCAGGATTTTTACCGGATACAGACACACGTTAATTTAATCTGTTAGCTATCCTTGTCAAAGTTATATAACTTCAAAATACGCCACAGGAACACTGGGACCAGAACTACCCACTTTCTTAGTAGGTAGATCATTTTTTTTCTCGTTAATTCTAAGAAGCATCTTACTATTATACTGAATGTAAAATCTAGATCTTACATTCAGAGACCCCGAAGTTTGACATCAAATTCAAATGTGGGTATGTAAAACAACTTCCGTATTGGTATGCTTAATTTATAATCGCGTACGGGAAGTTGGTTGCATTTTTTGTGATATCTTGCATCACATTAGATGCTTTCATAATTGCAGTTTGTAAATTTGCTTAAGTAATTGAATATTGTTTGCCTGATCTCGTAATGATTAAAGCATTATTTAGCCGGCAATCGCTCTGACGCTTCGCCAAGCTAACAATTAATGTTTATGAGTAGGAAAAAGAAAATGATGATAAATGAAATAAGATTTGAAATAAAGTCCCAAGAAAATGCGATTGTAATATAGGAGGCTAAAAATTATATAGTGGGCTGCAGCTAGACAGCTAAGATCAAACGTGACCAGCTCTGACATAGGCATTCAATTTATGGTAGCGGTCAGTTAAGCTGCTGATGACGACCGAGGCACTGGTTCCTCTCTTATAGGATTTTAACTCCAACGTCAGGGTAATTGATTGTGAGCGATAGTGTTGGAATTCCATTGCATTGTGAAATACAGTGGTATTAGTGAAAAAATAATTAATTTGTAGCGTTGAGGTTTTTACAATTTGTTTTCTGTATTTAGGATCACGCGCTTTATCTCGTAACTCCTAGCTCAGCTCTCTCTCTACATATTAGATTTGTCACAGCTCTCTCTCGTGTCTGATTTGCAAGCATTTATTTCCTAGTATCCGATTTGCTGATTTTTAGCGCATTTTCTCATTTATGGAAAAAATACACTATTGTGCTCGCCATGTCCGTCTGTCCGTCCGTCCGTGACCTCAAGTTTTCGTCGGCGAGAAAATGCGCTCTCTGTCACTCACTGCAGTGAGTACTGAGTTATATTTTTTTAGTTTGCTATTTCGCAACCATTTTGTAAGACTGTCCGTTCTGATTTGTTACTATAATAATTCGCTGTTTATATTTATTATATTAACTTTAGCTTTGTCATTGTTGTTTCAAATCCCGTTCAGCCCAAGCCTTGCTTATTAAACCAATAGGGAAGTGTCTTATAGTTTCCGCTTAATGATAGGCGTGACGAGAACATACAAATTTTTGAGGTGAGGCAACTGTTAATTTTAATATATGAGGCTAGTTCATTGTCACTGCGATGGAGCAGCTGCTTCGGCAATTGAATTGAAAGTTTACGTCGGTAGAAGGAGCTTCCTTAACTCAATTTTAGTGAGTAGTTCTCAGGACATTCTGAGTTCAAATGCATGTACATGTTGGACGGATTTTTTTTCTTCTAAAGTATACGTAAAATTATTTGTGTGAAGGATCAAAAGACTCAACATGCGGCAGATATTGCATGCGTCTCAAAGAAGAGCGACGTCGACTGAAGATCAAAAGAAGTCTCACCTCAAAGTGAAGCCTTTATCTCAGAGAATGGATGGAGAACAGACCTGCTTGATCGAATGTTCTTCACACTGGCTTGCGTGCAGTTCGAAATGCGTCATGATTTATCCTAAACCTGAAATACGAAAAGTACAAAATTCCCTAGAACCTAATAGTTTCATATATAACCACGCAGAGTATCTACCGAGATAAAGTTCATGTTTAGTATTGAAAACAGGGTAGTGACGAAAATGCGGACTAATAGGAAAATAAGAATTATTCGTCAATGAAGAGAAAACGCGGCAGCGCTTCAAGTACGGCGATCTCAAACAAAAAAACTGAGGCATTCGGCCTCTGTGAGAGTGCTCACTGCAACGCTGACCGCGTAAAGCGCAAGAAAAAGATTTCTGAGAAGTAGGCGTATTATTCTTTCAGCTAATTACTCGTTTCTCTATTTGTTTCGGTGCTTATCGGCAGGTGATCAATGAGATGTTCCACGGTGGCATGCTCCAATACAAGGGAGGTGAACTTCATGAAATGCAGTGAATTTTTTCTATTATTTGCTTAAAATTCTGATTTCGCATAGGAGAATGGGGTGCATATAGATGCATTAAACGACATATGTATATATATGCATTAAACTGCACGGAAATAGTTACGAGCACGAGCTGGACGTGCCTCTGCATGGAGCCACGCGCCTGTAGTGCGCTTCATATCGCTAGTTACATCATATAACAGTCGGAAGAACCGCTCTGATTTTATTCAATTAATTCAATGAAAGCTCAAGAACTGACGCGTGGTCCGAAATTGCCAATGATAACGTTCTAAACACACGCAAAAAGCAGCGCAATGCTTAAAATTAATCCATCGTACATAATAAAGTGAAGATCTCAGTCGTTGATTGCTCGTATAGGTATGACGGCCATAACCCCACGTATCTCTTTCGTACCAGAATGCGGCAGTTTAAAGCCGACACTCGTTCAGTCAAGCGCTCTCGAACTTCCTCTATAAAATTCACATGAAAATGAAACTCAAAAGTTCGGAGCGGACGACACACAAAATTCTTTAATAAAAACCGCTTCGGCGACAAAAACTAAAGGGAAACTGGCCGAGTTTTTTAGTCGGTGTCGCCGACTTTGTTTATTCTGCACCTCAATGCAAAAGGTCGCCCGCAAAATGCAAATTCCGGAACACCTGAGCGATCCCAGCGCTTGTGGAAGCCTCGTTGTAGCGTAGCTTATACCGTAGCGGCATGGGGTTATGACGAGCATTGCAGCGGGGAGTTGTAGGTGGGAGTTGTATGATTAAAAGCAGAAGTTATGGCGTAGATGAAAGACGGCAATAAAACCGGTGAAGTTATAGAAGTTATGGCGCTGACGAAAGACTGCGATTAAACGATGGGAGCTGTTGTGATTGAAGCTAAAGTTGTGATCAAGACGAAATATGGAGATGGAACGGTGTCCTCTGAGCCAAATGTTGTGTCGTAAATTACAGCTTCCGTGTTTGTCGAACCCAAATTAACTTCCATATTCATCCATGTATTTTAACACGCCATTAGAAAGGCATAAGTTGCTGTATTTTATACGAATGCGACACAACTTCAGCAGCTGGAGGACCACTGCATCGCATTCATCATCTGCAGAGCGCATTATAATTCATTTCTTTAGTTCATTACATCTCTAGTTTGAAATTAGAATCTGAGTAATAAAGGGGCCAGCGGCTATTCCTGGAACATTTCCTGAACACGAATTTTCGATGTTCTCTTATGTCGGCTTGTCCGTCACAACGTTCCTGCGCCATTACTACTAACATTTCGAAATTAATGAAGCATTCACTGAAAATTTCGGTGTGTTCTGTTTTGTTTTTATGAAACGCTTTATACCTGAATGAGTTATGCATTGAATTGTATTAAATTCTGTCCGGGATGCGCAGTAATCATCACCAATGCTGATCTAAGCTCAAAATATGGTTAGAGATTCAATGGTAATTTTTATTGGAACTGATAATGCTACATGCGGCCAAGCGTTATAATAAACATGCATATATTTTGGTTACTTTGTTAAACAATAAACCAATTTTAGGACGCGATTCAAAACACATCTTCGAAAAAAAAATTTTGCTCACAAAAATGAAGCTGTGGCGTATTTTTTCTGTAATCGCGTGTATAAAGAACTGTTTGCTAGACTTTAGGTCCTTCAATCTCGAGTTTGAATAGGCAATTGACTACCCACACTAACTTTTAGCGCTGACGACGAGTCTGTCTCCGATCTATTTGTAGGCGGAGTCAGTATATTAATTGGTTGTAACTCTAGGAAAACATCCAATCAATTTTAAATTGCAAAAGTAGTAGTTAAACATGTCAGTAGCAATCTTTCAATAAATATGTACCCACCCGAGTTTGCAGCTCGGAGCTATGCTTCTCAGAAGTTATCCTTCGCTAAGTAGGTATGTACCATTCCTACTTAGGAGCCAAGTATCTCCGTAATAATCCTTCACTAAGCATACTCCAGTTCAACTCAAGAGCCTGGGGCTAAACTTCTCTAAGTTGTTAGTAATTCGAGACGGTGCGGCCGTGAAGCCATTACGGCGAGGCTGCGATGCGCCTTTTTACCTGCCACAGGCTGGACTCTTGGTCGCAGGCTGGCCTCTAGGCCTCCTTCAGCCTCTTGGCCTCGAACTGATGCTGCTGCCTTTTTCTGCCTCAAACTTCTCTCTTACTGTCTCTTCCTGCCTCCTATTGCCTCTTCCTGTGCTAGCGGCCTTCTTACTTATTCTAAGTTCTTCCTCTTTCTATTCAATATTCCTGGTTCCGCTTGTTCAATTTGATGTTTCCTGCTGCCCTGGGCAGACCGGCCGCGACTCCTGAGATACTTATAAAATTTGCTGCCTATAACTTTGACCCACGCAGGCAAATTAACAGAAATTGCAAAAAAAATCAAACCGAATGAGGCCGTCCAATCCAAACTGCTTCTGGATAAACAGATTTT